CTAGAAGGAAAAAAAACCAATGTGCAAATTAAGCATAGTATATATCAGTTATCATCCTTAAAATTTAGCAGATAGAAACATAATTTGGCAATTTTGAATTAGGGCATGTCATGCTGTAAAAGGTGCTTGGACAATAGGAGAAAAGGCCTAGAGAATGAAATTAAATGATGTGCAAGGGAAGGTACTCAATTCAACTATTATATATTATATAATAATCATCATCATTAAATTTATCATTTCTTTTAGTGTTAATTTCTTGATGAACTAGCTAGGTACAGATAGCTGTCAAAAGCTAATATTGCTTTTAGGGTTTTGTTGCATGGGTGCAAGCTAGCAAACACTTTAATCAGTGACTGTACTGAGCAAAAGCTTTCCAGTTAAGTGTTATTACAAAGGCAACAGCAGCTGAGCCTAAGTTAGTAGGCAAGTCAGTCTTTGTTCTGCCTTTGACATCACTTTGGCAAGCAGATAGAAGCAAAAACTAGAAAGCTGGTCGAGAAAAGAATTGTGTTCTTAGTGTCAGTGATTGAAACAGTAACCTTTTTCGAATTTTGTCTTGATGATAGCTCCGAATCTAATCTTAAGTACTCTAGTAAATAATTATCGTTTATTTAAAAAAAGTTCTTTTTTCTTTTTCCTTTTTTTAAGGAATGTAAATAATGTATGAAGATGAAGAACAACAAAAGTTTTGCATGGACTTTGTAGGTAAATAGTTGTAGAATGGAAGTGTGGTAGGTGAACTATATATAAGTAGGTTCAAAGCTTTGTTTTTAATTATTAATTTCTTTTAAAATTACTTTCAGCATAAGCAGTTTGAGAAGTTTCCTACACTAGATGACTCATGCAACAACTATTCACCAGTTACTTGAACTTCTTGTGGCTAGTGTCAGTGTAACCATGGAAAATGATGAAATATATAAGCAATTTAATTTTTGTGTAATTAATTATGAAAGCTAAAAACAACTCTTTCCTGTCCTTATTTTTAACGATATGTTTGCATATTTAATTAATTATGTAATTCTCTTCTTCACTAATCATTTGCAAGTAGTGTTGATCGAGGTTCTGTTTTAGAGAGATGAATACGTATTATTGGGGAAATGTATTAAATGCACATGGATCCATGACATTAATTGTGCATCAAATGAATGTCAACACTTAGATCATTGAATTTCGGGATTCATGCATAGATCCAAAGGTTGATATTCTTTGAGTGCACATTTATTGCAAAGGACCGTTCCCTTTAAATACTTTCTCATTGGGCACTTCATGTCAATGCACTCGACCATGATGGAATCTTGGGTCCACTTGTACTCAAAGAACGTAGGTAATCACATTTTTTTTTTGGTTAATGAAACTTTATTCATCTTCCAAATATAGAATGTTATGCGCAACAAACTTCTCAGAAATACTGAGATTACAAAATAGCTACAAGCACCATTGTGAACTAAAAATTACAGTGAGCACATCCACTTCTTATCTTCAGCCGAAAAAGGACCATTGAGAGTGACTGTTAGAAGGTTGAATTTAATCTCTTTAAACAATTGAGATGCTGATTTTCCTTCCTGTCTGAAAATCCTAAAGTTCCTTTCACACCAAATGTAATAGATTGAAGTGGTGAGAGCCATTTTCTTGACTTTTTGCTTAAAACCATTCCCCCTCAAACAATGGCAATACCAGTTGATAATCTGGTTCCAGCAGGTAGACTTCCATCTAAATTGTAACCAATTCATAACCATGCACCAAACATCCCTTGAGTAGAGACAATCGAAAAAAAGATGATCTCTGCTCTCTGAACCCGAACACCAGCAACAGGTATTAACACTCACAATATTCCTCTTAAACAGTCTATCTTGTGTGAGTAATCGATCTTGGACTGCAAGCCAGCTGATAAAAGAGTGTCTGGGCATATTTGAATTAGCCCAAACTGTTTTGTACCACGGAACAGCTGAGGCAGTAGGAGAAAGGGCAGAATACAGCACTGAGAGATGTATTTTTGAGTTCCTGTCACAATTTTGAATAAGATTCTTAAGATTGTCAGCTCCACCATAAGTTCTCAGGGCTTTATCTCTTATTTTCAAGATGCTTTTCCACATCCATGAATCTTTGCTTTTTGCTTGGACATGCCAGATATCGTTGTTGCTTAAGTATGAGCCATGAATCCACTTAATCCAAAGACTTTCCTTATTAATATGGATGAACCAAAGAGTTCTTAGAGTAGCAGCAAGATTCCATAAAGAGGCTGAATAGATGCCAAGTCCACCTTGCTTCCTGCTCAAACATACCTTATCCCAGGATATAAGAGAAATTTTGTGAATGTGTTCAGTTTTGCTCCACAGGAAGCATCTGCACATTTCATCTATTTTCTTTAGGACTTTAATAGGGAGGACATAGTTTGATAACCAGTAGGTTTGAATGCCCAGAATGATGCTTCTAATAATCTGCAATCTGCCAGCATATGAAAGCAATCTGTTCTTCAAACTGGACTGAAAATGACCTGCTATGTTGTTCAAGAGTGAAGAGCATTCATTGAAAGAAAGTCTTTTGGATATTAATGGAACTCCCAAATATTTAATAGGAAATACCCCCTCATTAAAATTTAAGAGCCTATTAACAGATCCTTTAGTGCTATCATCAACTCCTCCATAGAATACTTTGCATTTGTCTGGATTTGTTTCAAGCCCAGACACAGTACAAAAGTCTTTAAAACAATTGAGGAGCAGCTCCACTGAATGAGAATCTCCTTTGGAGAAAAGTAGAAGGTCATCAGCAAACATAAGATGAGATATTTTAAGCTTACCGCATCCTGGATGATACTTAAATGATCTGTTCTCCTTAAGCATGTCCAGCCTTCTTGAGAGAAATTCCATACCCAAATTGAATAAGTATGGAGAGATAGGATCACCTTGCCTTAGACCCCTCTTGTCTTTGAAATACCCATGAAGAGTACCATTTAATGATAGAGAGAATTTAGGGGTTGAAATGCAAACCATGATCCAGTTGATGAAATTGACAGGAAATCCAAGGCCTTTTAACATCTCATTTAGAAAATCCCAGTTAACAGTATCAAAGGCTTTTTTGATATCAATACTCAACATAATTCTAGGAGAGATATGCTTCCTGTTATAGTTCTTCACAATCTCATTTGCAAGAAGGATGTTGCTAGAGATTTGTCTTCCTTTAACAAATGCAGACTGGCTGTCATTAATTAAGTATCTCATCACAGATTTGATCCTATTAGCCAGAATTTTGGAAATAATTTTGTAGAGACTATTGCAACAAGCTATAGGTCTGAAGTCTGATGGGGTCTTGGGACACTTCACTTTTGGAATCAAAGTGATGACAGTAGAATTTATCATGCCCAGAATTTTACCTGTTTTAAAGAATTCCAGAATAGCTTCAGATACCTCATCGCCAATAATGCACCAAGCTGACTTGTAGAAGGATATACCAAATCCATCAGGGCCCGGAGCTTTCCTATCATCCATTGAGAAGACATCATGTCTAATTTCATCTCTAGTCACAGCTAAAGATAAGAAATTTATTTGAGCATCATTTAAGCATGGACCATTGTGGATGACATTACTATCAGGCTTGACAAGTATTGTGCTTGAACCCAATAGTTGCTTGTAGTACTCAAGTAGCTCCTGAATGATTAAGTCACCATCAGTAATTCTGTTTCTTGCACTATCATAGAGTACCCTGACTCTATTGAGATGCCTTTTAGCTTTGACAGCTGAATGAAAAAAACTACAACTCCTGTCCCCTTGAGTACACCATTGAATCCTAGATTTTTGTTGATAGAAAGAAATTTCACACTCCAGCAGCTTATTGTAAGTGAGCATGTATTTTTTTTCCTGTTCAATCAAGTCAGCATTAAGAGGATCTGATTGTAAATGCTTTTGGGCATTCTGCAGATTCATCCTTGCTCTGATAACTTGCTCAGATATATTGTGAAAATTTTTCTTATTTAAGTCTCTGAGAGCTATTTTCAGAAGCTTCAATTTACTGGTCACTGAAAACATGATACAGCCTGGAATTTTCCTTTGCCAGATGGAAGTCACAGTGGGTAAGTAATCATCATGCTTGCTCCACATATTGAAAAATTTGAAAGGCTTTTTCCCTTGAACACATTCATCATATATTGACACCAATGCAGGAGAATGATCAGAGCAATTGGGTAGCAGATATTCAACATGGCTAGAGTTATATAGATTAATCCAAGCATCATTGATCAGAGTTCTATCAAGTCTACTCCATACTCTGGAATTTGCCTCTTGTTTGTTGTTCCAAGTAAAGAAACACCCTTCAGTTTTCAAGTGAGTAAGTTGACAGTCATCAATGAATTCCCCGATATCCAGTGTTTCAGCCACAGTAACCATAGCTCCACCTAATTTGTCCTCATCATCAGATATAGCATTGAAATCACCACTGAGAATCCAAGGCTTATTACCAACTCTATGTTGAATTTGCCTTAATTCAAGCCAAAGAGATTTCCTATTCTCGATTTGATTATATCCATATATAGAGGAGATAAAACAGTCTATTCTCCCATCTATGGATTTAACTAGGCAAGTAATATGCTGAGGAGAGTAACTGTCAACTTGGATGTCCAAAGTATTTGGATCCCATAAAATCAGTATTCTAGCTTTGGAAGAGTTGATAACATTTGAACACCATTTCCAATTACAAGCAATTTTCCTTACTATAATAGGGATCTTGGATGCTTTGATTTTTGTTTCAATGAGAGCCATAAAGGATAAATGGTATTGCTGAA